AACACTTGTTGAGAACTTAATTGGTATTAATTTAGTATTTTGGGACCTAATTGTCATTCTCTCTTAATTTATACTCCCTCCATTTTTATATGGAGTATAAGAAAAAAAATCATATCAAACAGTTTAAGAAAGCCGGTTAATTATAATAATTATGTCTGAAATAAAAAAATTAAATTAAAATATCCTGTGTTAATCAATATAATTATATACATTAATTATTTTTCATTAATGTAAATTATGAAAGATAATTTAAAAAATGTATAATAAATACTTATTAAAATAAGTAATTTTATTTATAAAAAATAAAAGTAAAGAATGGTAGACTCTCTAACAATAAAAAACGAAGGGATTACTCCTATATGTCTCTGTGTCACACATATGGGAGTGAAATATAAGTATTTTTTTTCATTTCAATGGAAAATATAAGTATTTTTTTAACATATCTTACATATTAATAAAATTTTTATTTTCAGAAAAATATATATCATTTTTTGTCTTAATTTTAATTTAAAATGAGTTAAAAGAAGGCTATAAATTTACAGATACAATACTTTAGGTTAATAGATAAAGGTTAAATGAGATTTTTTACAAGTACTTAGTTGCTTGTATTTTGAATCAACATTAATAGAAGAAAATGCTTATATTTTAGATTGAAAAGAGAAAGTGCTTATTACTGAAATATCATTATTTATTAAAAATTAAATTAAGAATTTTATTAATTCATTGCACCACCACCTTCATCGCAGCTTCCCTCCGCTCAGTACTAAGAGAATTATATATATTTATATATATGACTATCCGATTACTTAAGCCATGTTATCTGTCCAAAAAATGAGTTTTACAGGGCTAACTCAGATAAAAATAAGAAAAATGCAACAATTAACTAACATTAACATGATAATTACAGTAATATTATAGATAAAAATAAACCTTGAACATAAATCATGAAATATGTAATAATATAAAATCATGAAAATATACGAATAAAAAACAAATATAAAATAAAATTGTTATACCAAATAGAATGAATGACAACATTCGATTACTCATAAATTAATAAGATAAATACCTTATTTAAAATTGCAGCATCATCATCATCATCACTTCTAAAGGAAACCAATCAACAAATGATCAAACAAACTCCTTAGAATTTATGCTTTATGCTAATTCAGTAGAGTATTATACTGATAACATGTTATAAAATTAAAAATAATAATACAACTATCAAATAATATTAATATGGTAAGCATAGTAATATTATAGATGAAAATAAACCTTGATCACAAATAAATAAATGTACATATAAATGTAGTAAATAATTTTTAATAATATTAACTATTTTTTTAATAGTGGAAGTTATAATTTTGAAATGAGCAAGTCATTTTCGTGCACTTGCATGCAGCTGTTGCCGTGTAGTAATATTTCCTCTAATAATCCTCATTTTATCCTGGCGGTGGGGCCCTATGCCATGCCTTACTTTGAACCCAACGTAACCCACTTATTAAATATATTTAGGTTAGGTTTAAATCTTTAATTAGATCAGGCTTATTTTTTTAAAACTTAACCTGAGTTTAATAAGTTGGCTTATTTACACACATATGTAATATAATATATCACACATACAACAGTTTTATTATTTGATTTTTAATTAATCTGTACATTTTTTTCTAGTTATGTTTTTAATGTGATTATATTTATATATTGATTTTAATATTGTTATTTTATTATTGTATTGTATTATAGTTGGTAAGTTCTTTTAATTATTATAAAAATTAAGTTATATATTATATACTAATAGTTTTAAGATATATTTAAGACATTTAAAATTAAAATACGAGTTTATTTAAAGTGTTTATTTTTAAATAAATTTTCAGATTAGATCATATTTTAGATAAACTCAAATTTGAGCTTAAAAAAATCTTATATAAATTTTAGACCAAACTCATGTCTCTGATTTATCACACAAACTCAATTCTATTTAATCAAAACACCTAGCTTACCAACAAGTTGCTTTGAACAAGTCTGTCGTGCGTGCAGATGAAATTGATTTTGTGTATGTTCCTTTTGATTTGGTGGTGCAAGATGCGAAATTTCTTCGCAACAGAATCATTTATTTTTGTGAAAGCCTATTTGAAAACCTGTTTTGGAAACAATTTTTTGTTCTCCAGAACAAAAGAACAAAAAAATTCGTTTGGTAACGTGTTTTTAAAAATTATTTTGGAGAACAAAAAATAAAATTTTTCTGGAGAACAGAAAAATAAAAACAACTTTTAAGTGTTCTGTGATTATTGTTCTGGAGAACAAGAGAGAATGAAAAAAATACCTATTTTTATTATTTTTTTATTCTTAGAACATGTTTTATAGAACACCAGTTTTCAGAACAATAAAATAAAAATAGTTTCAAACAGCTCCTAAAAACGTCCACTTCCAATTTCAGCTGTGAAACACCGAAAAAAAAAAACCATTTACTCCGTCTCTTATACTAATAAGATATAAGTTTTTAAAGGCATTTGCACACATATTAAAAAAAATGCAATTAAGATATATATATATATATATATATATGTAATTATATATTTTGACTATATTGCCCAATTTGCTCCTAAACCTGAATAAATACTCTGTGAAATCGGTGGAGTAAAATAAAGGGTATAATCATGAAAAAATGTTTAATACATACTGTTTTGATGTTCTAAAGTGAGGTATGTATAAAGTAACACACTCCTTAAATGATTTACTTTTGTAGGTATAAAATATACAAGTCACTTTCAAACTAATTCATATAAATCTTTGTCCAAAATAAAAAAGAAAAGAAAACTCATTCATATGAATCAATAAAAGAAGTTCCCAGCCATCCTTTGTCACTTTGCATTATAAATTATAAGGCACTTTAAATTAGCTTATACTTCTAATAAATTAGCTTATGACATTTAAAATTATACATTTTTATGTTTATCTTGACTTAACAGGGTGTCTCAATTAAAAAAAGATTATCAATTATATCTCAATAATATTTTTCTAAAAGAAAATCTTTATCAATTACTCCCTCTGTTCAATAATACTCCCTCCATTTTTAAATATAAAAGAAAATAACTAACTAACACAGTATAAAAAATTTGATTAAGTGTAATAATTATGTTTAAAAATAAAAAAATTAATCTAAAATACCCTTGTACTTAATCAAATAAGTCTGCATTAATATTTTTTCTCATGAATAAAAACTATGATTTTATGAGGGATAATTTAGAAAAATTGTGATAAATGCTTATTTAAATGTGTAACTTTGCTTATGAAAAAAAAAACAAAATACCATGTGACAGTTTCTTCGATATTTAAAAATGAAGGGAGTATTATAAGGTATTATTTCTAACTAAATTACATCCAAATGAGTTAATTAATTGTCTTAAAATTATGTTATCTTTTCATGTCCACTTTTATTTAATATAGTGTTTTAATTAGAAAATTTTATTAATGACACCTCTAATTAAAGGTATTTTTAAAAAAATATTATCAATTGTACCTTAAAAGATTTAAAATGCCTTATATTTTTAAATATTTTACCTCTAAAAAATGCCTTATATTTTTTAATGGAGAGAGTGCACCTTAAAAGACCCAAAATATTTTATATTCTTAAATATACTGCTTAAAAAAAGTGCCTTATAATAATAAACGAAAAGAGAACTTATAGTGTTAAAATTGTCATAAAATTTATTTAACTTCAAATTTACTCTTACTAATTCACTAAACTCACTGTTATATTAATTTATATCCTCTCTCACTGTATATATAGAGACTTTTTTTTTTTGAATTTGATAACAAGTGCAGTATATAGAGAAAATATTTAATGCTCCTACAAGTCTATAAAGTGACTAACAAAAAGGATAAAAACATATATTAGGAAAAAAAAATCTGATAGAAAGTGCTTTGTATATAAAATGGGAGGGATTATTTGCCCAATCCAAAAAAAAAAAATGAGACACCTTTAAACTATCTTCACAAGAATTAAGAAATTAAGAAAATTAGTTAAAAGTGGTTTGCATGATCATTAAATTGGCAAAAACTTATCACTATAGCTCAAAATTATCTTCTAATTAAAATCAATATATCTTAGTTACTTTTAATTTTTTGTATAATCTCTCTTCCTATAATACAATTAACAAGGCCATTTGTAAAATGAATAATTTAATGTTATGATTTTTTTTTCAAAGCGTTTTATATTTTAAAATAACAATTGCTGATAAAAAATATTTTATAGTCAATTACAAATTGTCTCAGTAACAACAGCTCTATCTCCTCCTCTTAGAAAAGGTCCCAAGTTTAAATCTAGCATTAACATATTTCTACATGCTGAGCTATCTACTTTTCTTATAAGGAAGGATTATATGAGAGGTAAAATTATAAAAAAAATTTTATATTTAAAATAAAACTAATATATGTCAGTAAAACTGAGGGAATGTATACAATTATTCATGTATACTCGCACCCCACACACAGATTAAGCGGCATTTTAAAATATCGATCTCGGCAAGATTCCCGATCGCATTATGCAGAGAATAAAATAAGGGTATGACGCAATAAAAATTAATAAGAAAATGAGGATAGGAATCTCGTTCTCATCCCTTGGCCTGAGGTTTGAACTATGAAGAATGAATCACAACCAAAGGAGATTCATCATTTTTTTCCATTTCTAGTTCTTTTTTGTTGCTTTTGCAATTTTGTTGGTTCCTTCAAGTTGAAGACGAAAGCGACAAGTCCAGAGCCAAAAGAAAAGCTATGAAATCAAAATTTCTTGGCTGTTTTCATTTTCTCGAAACATCTTGCTAATTGTATGGTTTAATTTTTTTTATTACTATTTTTCAAGTTTGAATTTTTTTTTTTAATAAAATTTCCAAAAATAATTTTTTAACGTACGTAAAAAATATCAAACCAAAAAAAGAATATTATGTCACTATAAAAAGCGAGCGCCGGTCTAGATAGGAATCTTGGAACTTACTTTTTGTTAGGCTTGAGGGTGACGCGCTGGTTCTGTGTCACCGGGCATTTCTACTATCGTATTTGTGGTGGCTGACACTTGCTCTCGTCTCTCCCTTGTCGATTTTGATATTGGTTATATCCGGCTTCATTTGGTTAGCATCCAGGGTAGGTGTTTCTTCTTTGGTTTTAGTTCTCTTGCGCTTGATCAATCCAACGGACGACTTTTGTACAAGGGGAGGTGAAGTGGACGATTCAGAAGAGAATAGAATCCTGGTCGCAGATTCTTCTTAACCCCCACCTTCTATCTTTCCTTACGAGTGGTTGCAGCAACCTATTTTCATGGATCCTGGCAAGTTACAGGTATATCGATGCTAATTCTTCCAATTTTATCGCTCATCAGTAAACATATAGTCTCTTTCGTTCTATTTTTAGTTAATCACCCCTTCTAGTTGAGCTTGAAATCTCTCATTTTTGTGGTTAACGAACATCCTCCATCGCCTTCTTCATTCTGATTCTTTGTAGGACATCATGCCCCAATCAGCATGTTGACTATTTCCGGTCACACTCACAGACCGGTTTTTCCATCCAAATATCTTTACTGATGACTTATTGACGACGTTGGACAGGTAGCCCATGAAGATGGAAGAGTGATTTTGCTTGAAGCTTTGCCTTATTGACTTTTCAGTTGGGACACTCCAAATCGAATCAGTTTGGAACCTGAAAATTTCTGTAATTAAGCGGAAGGAACCGCGACATGATTATGGAAGACAATGTTGTGTCACCCAGTACCTTAATAGATTCGTCCATAGATTTCGATTACATGGACGAACTTTTTTCAGACGGATGCTGGTTGGAAACCCCTGCGGATGGATCTGACTTTTTGCTGAGAAGCCCTTCTGCGTCCAATCCCCTCCTTGACTCATCATATTCATGGCCTGCCTTGGATACTGTTGGGCATGTGAGTCTAGAACAAAGGCAGAGTCCCTTGATTGACGAATTACAGGAAACACAAACCAATACTCGATTGGTTGGCAAGGGCAACGACATAATAGATGTTGCTGGTACTTGTAATCAGTCTGAAATTCATTCAGTTGAAAGCTCAGAATTCGTAAGAAGGTGGTGGATTGGACCTATGGGTAATCCGAGCCCCGAGTGTTCTGTGTTGGAGAGGTTAATTAAGGCACTCGTGTATATAAGAGATTTCAATAGAGACAAAGATGTGCTTTTACAAATATGGGTGCCGGTTAATAGAGAGGGTGGGAGGATTCTAAGCACCAGTGATCTTCCCTTCTCGCTTGAAAGTAGCAGTCCAAATCTTGTGAAGTACCGAGAAATCTCTGCCAAATACAAGTTTTTAGCTGAGGGATATTCTAGGGGCTTGGTGCCTGGATTGCCTGGTCGAGTTTTTAAAGAGAAAGTTCCTGAGTGGACTCCTGATGTTCGATTTTTCAGGAATGATGAATACCCTCGAGTTAGCCATGCTCACGAGTATGATGTGCGTGGATCTTTAGCAATTCCAGTCTTTGAGAAGTGTGGCAACATTTGCTTGGGCGTTATTGAGGTTGTAATGACATCCCAGAAGATCAAGTATTTCCCTGAGCTTGAGTGTGTTTGCAAAGCACTTCAGGTTTTTCTCCTTGCTTATTTCAATAAAATTTTGTTTGGGTTTCGTTTTTGGAATGGACAAGCACATAAATATCCAGAATAAACTTAAACCTAAGAATATCAGACTTTAGAAAAGTGGAACTTTTTCTTTTTTTTTTTTTTAAATTCCTTTCGATGTGCCATCTTTTGTTTCCCGAGACATAAAATGCATCCTACCTTGTTGCTTTAAAATTTCCCTGAGCTTGAGTGTTTGCAAAGCACTTCAGGTTTTTCTCCTCACATCTGTTCTGGTTATTGTTACCATATCCATATTTTTACGGTAATTTTCTGTTTCCCCTCTTTTGATATGTTAGTCTGTTTTTATGTATTTCATTATAAATGCATATAGCATGGCCAATTTCTTCTCAATCAAGTAGTTTGTCCGCCAAATTCTTATAATGATTATCAAAACTTGAATTAATTTCAATTTAATGATCGGAAGAAAGTTGTTAACTTGCAGGCTGTTGATCTTAGGAGCACCAATATTTCAAGTATACAGAATGTGAAGGTAAATGGACAATCATATCAAAAGACATTGTATTGAAAATTTCCTTGATTTGTTCATGAAATCAGTTTTCATTTTAGCAGGTATCCAACAATTCCTATGAAGCTGCACTGCCTGAGATCCAAGAAGTTTTGAGATCGGCGTGTGAAATGCACAAATTACCTTTAGCTCAAACTTGGGTTCCATGTATCAAGCAAGGCAAAGAGGGGTGCCGGCACTCAGATGATAATTTTCTATACTGTATATCTCCTGTTGAGCATGCCTGTTATGTTGGTGATCCTTGTGTCCAGGCTTTTCATGAGGTTTGCTCTGAGCATCACTTGTTAAAAGGTCAAGGTGTCACTGGTGAGGCTTTTATGACCAATCAACCATGCTTCTCAACTGATGTAACTTCCTTAAGCAAGATAGATTATCCACTGTCTCATCATGCAAGGATTTTTAGGCTGCGAGCTGCTGTTGCTATACGCCTGCGAAGCATCCGTAGCATTACAGATGACTTTGTGCTAGAGTTCTTCTTGCCTATAAATTGCACTGACAGTGAAGAACAGAAGAAGATGCTCACTTCATTGTCTATGATTATAAAAAGGGTTTGCCATAGTTTGCGGGTGATAACAAATAAAGAACTGGAGGAGGAAAAACGCTTACCAATTGATGAAGTGACAGTCCCTGCAGATAGTAGATGTGCTAGGGTGGAGCTCCAACAATGCAGTAAGGTTACCTCACATGGCACCAAAGAAAAGTCAAATGAAACTGTGACTAGACAGTTTTCTAACCTGATTCAGCAAGAAGACTCTATTTTAAAAGAAAACCCTGAATATGGTTGGGAGTGTTCTTCTTTTGGTGAGGGTGGCTTGCCGATTGAAGGTTTAAGTAAAACAGCAGATAAAAGACGGACCAAAGCAGAGAAAACTATCACTCTGCAAGTTCTTCGGCAATATTTTGCAGGAAGCCTAAAAGATGCAGCAAAGAATATTGGTGGTAAGCTTTATATTGAAAGTGTGTTTCCATTTCAGGCTATTGATGAAGCAAATATAGTCTCTTAAGTTGGGATGCTAGTTCATTATAGTCATTCCTTGATTTCTTGCTGGCCAGTCCTTTTAAAAATTATATGATTTTTTTGTTGGTAATTTACTAGTACAAGCTTTGGCAACATTTTCAGATTGTCATAAGTGCAGATAAGCATCTGCTATTGTTTTATCGTTTCCTTTTTCTCCCCGCCGCCCCCCATTCATGCAGCTCTACTATAATTGTCATTGAAAACAACTTTTGTACTATACTTTTCCAGTTTGTACTACAACTTTGAAAAGAATTTGTCGCCAACATGGGATAAAGCGTTGGCCTTCTCGAAAGATTAAAAAGGTTGGTCACTCCTTACAGAAACTTCAACTTGTCATCGACTCAGTTCAAGGTGCCTCTAGCGCTTTCCAGATAGATTCTTTCTACTCAAAGTTTCCAGAGCTAGCATCTCCAAATTTGCCCGGAAGCAGCTTGTTCTCAACTTCAAAGCAAAGTGATCCGCCAAATCCATCAAGCACAAGGCCTGATACTGGCTTGATGAGCCCAGAAGCACCCTTATCTTCATGCAATCAGAGTTCCAGTTCAAGTCATTCCTCTTCCATCCTGTCAGAGTTACGGCTTCATGCACAAAATGTTGCGGGTGGAAAAGATCCTAGGGTTAGAGAAGATTCTGCTGATGGGGTTATGAAGAGGATTACAAGTGAAGCAGGGCTAAAAAGCTTAAGTCAAGATACAGCAGAGCTCTTGCCAACTTCCCAGAGCCAGGAAACACTTCATGAACATCCAAAATCTGTGTTGAAAAGCAGTCACAAGGCACATAAAAAAGAAGATACTCACAGAGTAAAAGTCACTTTCAGAGATGAGAAAATCCGGTTTCGGATGCCGAAGAGTTGGGGTTATGAAGATCTTTTGTGGGAAATTGCTTGGCGATTCAATATAGATGACATGCACAAATTCGATATCAAGTATCTGGACGATGACTCTGACTGGGTCTTGCTAACTTGTGATGCTGATTTAGAGGAGTGCATTGATGTCTGTCAACATTCTCAGAGCAGTACCATCAAACTTTGCCTTCTAGAGAGCAAATCATAGTATCGTCTATCAGATATGTCAACTAGTGTCGCAAGTTTTTCGTATTGTGGGACAATTTTGATTAGTTTTTTCAAGAGAATTATCTTGGTTATACTACAGAAGTTCAAATGACAGAGGTTTCCAATATTTAAAGTAATGAGCAGTTGCAACGTTGATTCATCTTAAGAGCTGAGTTGGTGTGGTACCAATACTACTCATGATTGTAAATATTCAACTCTTGACGTCTTTTTGGTTCATGGCATCAAGGCGCTGGGAATGGTAATGACAAAATTTATCATGCACATATTCCACTTTCCTCCACAACTGACCTGATTTACCATACCTCCACTTCACAAGAAATGATGTTAGTTTCATTAAGCTTAATGTAATCTGGATCATCCTTTCCTGTGAGAAATTATGGCCATCTGCAGTTTATATCCTTCCTCCTATTACCCTGTAGATGCCTGGTTGAGGCAGCAGCTCCTGCAGTGCAAGACACCGAGCATCCTCTCATCCTCCCATTTGGCTTCTCTCCATTTGTGATGCTCATCCACCAATGCAGCTTATCTCCATTTGCAATGCTCATACTCAGATTTGGCTTTTTTCCATTCGTGATGGCACCATTGATATGGCCTCCTTCCAAACATGGATGGTAAGAGTTACCTCACTGCTCTTTCTAGGTTACATGTTTCATTTTAGTTGCTACTTGTCTTGAACTACTTTTGCTCTGTTAATACTTGCTTGCAATTTTCAATTGAGGAAGTGTTTGTTATAGGGCTCAATTTATCTTCTGACGTAATGGGTGGATATTGACACAGGCTTGGATTAACATCAACTGTTTTAACTTATTTTTGCATTTGGGTTTTTATTTTGTTTGAGTGGGAAAAGTTATTCTTATCCTATTCACCCACGCAACCTGTTGTTGTTTATTGTCCATAAATAATCTTATAGGAGCTTATCGAATCAAATGAGGTTTCGGAAAATGTCAAAATGGACTTTTCGTTCGGGTTTTCAGCTACTTTTACTCCTTGGATGATTGGCTGAAGCTCATATGTGTCCTATAAAGAATCTGTCATAACTAAGTTTCGATTGTTAAAGTTGTTTTAAAACATGGCCAAGTTTATTGATGATGAAATAAATATTTGCCTTGATGACCTGATTCTATAAGATCATTTGCATATTGCTCTTTTAAAAAGAAGTAAACAACTTGATAAAACATCAAAACATCCATGTTAGAAGCAATCAAATACCAGAAACACCCTCAGTCAGAAAAAATAAACCGTTGCCTTGGTCTGCAAATCATAACAAATTGCAAGCTTTTGTTGTTCAACTTGTGTCAATTTTTTTGTGAAACTTTTTGTTAGTACTGTATTATGGAGCTCCGCAAATTGGTTGGGAATGCGAAATAATGTTTACAGTGGCAAAGCCACCTTCCCAGTTTATGATGGTTTTCTTTATTACTAATTATTTCAACAATTTTTTTTTTTCCATTGTGTGCAGATGCATTGGCAAAATAGCTGCAGTAATCAACTCGAAGACAAACTCCTTTGCATTTGAAGAAACCCATTTGCTGCAAATTGTATTGTTTCAGAATCTATAGTTCATATGATCATTTGAAGAAAGCTATTTGTTGGCTTGTATTCTTTTAGTGACATTGTTCTAATTTCATTATGTGAGACAGTTAGTAATTATGATTATTTCAATCTGAAAATGGTAGTCAAGGATTTATATCTCCTGTGCTGGTAGCTTTGACATTTTGCGTGTTTGTAGGAGGTATTCAGCGAAATATTGTACCCTCAAGAAAAAAATCTGTGAATTATAAGATACGTGTACCATATACTTTTTTCATAGAAAAATATAAAATATTTTTAATTGAATTTTATTCTTAATAAAATAGTTAATTATCTTTAAATTAACATTATCTTTTATGTTTATTCTTATTTAAAAAAGTGTTTTATTTTAAAATAAATATAAAATAATTTATTTATTATAGGTATTTAAAAAAACATATTAAATTTGGAAATATTTGACAAGGTTTCTAGTATACTTTTGCATGGTTCAATGGCTTCTAGATGAACAACCTTTGTAGAGGGGCCATTGGTATGACCTCTGAACAAGGAAAAAAATTTACAACAGCAAGCTAAATAAATCTTAAGAAAAAAATAATTTTAAATTCTTGTATTTAGCTTTAATTTTATTATAAATCCTTATACTTTTTTCAGTGTCTCATGTTTCTACACTTTTTTGTTTCTACTTAAGTCGTTACACTTTCAAAAGGACATTGATATATCACTAACAATGTTAATTATGCTGACGTGGACTCTAACAACATTAATCATGTGGTACATGTCATTCAATTGCTCATGTGTATTTTGTAATGACCAGAAAATTTAAAAAAGGCCACATGTAAGAACAAAATGAGCAGAACAAGACGATCTGGAAGCCCCTTATTTCCCAAGGCACAAGAAAAACAAAAGGCAGCTGGAGCGACATTTCAAGCCTGTGAATGTCATGGCATCGTTTAGTTCAATGAGTCTCTCTTCTCCGGCATCATGAGGGTCTCTGTAGGCATCATTTCCGGCGTCGTTCAGCTCAGGGGGGTTGCTCTTCTCTTGGTGAGTACATGACGTGACCTTTTCCAGCGTCCACTAACACCCTTTTCTGGCGTCATGGCTGTGTCTTAGGGTCCTTTTGTTTTTCTCGTCCAGATTGTTTTGTTCTACCCATGGAAAGAGGCTCAAAGTCAGCCTTTTCATTTCGTACATGTGGCCTCTCTCTCTCTCTCCCCCCCTTTCTCTCTCTGTTTTTTTATTTTATTTTTTGGTTATTAAAAAAATTCACTTCAACAACTGAATGACATGTCATCACATAATTAACGATGATAGAGTTCACATTAACATAACTAACACTGTTAGTGTCACATCAATTTTCTTTTAAAAGTATAAGGACTTAAGGTGTAAACGTATACAAATGTAAAGACTTAAAACAAAAAAAACAAAAAAGTGCAGGAACTTATACCCCTCTTACAGAATCATATTAGAAACATTTTAGTTCAAGTTCTTTTTTTTTTTTTTACCGAAAGAAATGTATTCATAATCAAAAGAAATTACACCAAGATAAATTGTCATACAGAAACATTTTCATCATCCACCACCTCTTGGGATAAAAGTGAGGAATGAACAAAGGTATGAAAACTAACATATAATCTATACTCCAAGTACTCCTTTCTTTGCTGTTTTGTTCAAGCTTGATCCTTGCTTCATTGTTGAGTTCCAAGAGACATACGAAGCACTTTCCACATGCACTTTAATTGGATGAATGAAGTATTGGACTGACTGGAGGAACTACGCTAAAACAATCCAAAGATAATACTGCCCATTGAATTTTCCGTTATGACATGCAGATATTATAATTAACATAAACCATCAATTTGATAGAAAATATAAAATCTATGCAATGATGTATTATTCACAAGTTATAGACAATATAATCTAAAATCTAATCAAGTTTAAAATCTAGTCTAGTATTATACTAAATTCTCTATGAAGTCACAGATAAGCTCTATTTTGGCTCCATGCCCTTATTTTTTTTTCAAAGGAAAAAAAAGAAAAAAAACATCGAATTCAAAATTTCCCTCCTCTTTATTTATTTTCATTTAAACTCCACTTATATAATTTCATCTATCTACTTCTAAGTATCCGTGCAAAACAGGGTTGAAATTCTAATTATACTAACACTTCTTGCAAAAGAAGGGGGAAAAAAAGCAGCAAGAACAAGAGCTGAGCTGGCCATCTCCTGCTCAATGGTGTATTTTTTTTTTTTCAATTTATTTTGTGGGCAGAGGAGGATCGTAAGTGATAAATTCTGAATTGTTAACAGAGAGCGGTCGGTTTTGGATGCTGAACCTAAATATTGGTTAGCCCAAAAGAATAGTGGAAATATGAAGAGGAATCACATCAAATAATTGTCAAAACTCAAAACTCAAAAGTACAAACATACATGCTGCCAAAAAAAGGTAATAAGGGGCACACTGAAAGCCTAACAGACTTCATTTTGAAGAAAGTAATAAACAAGCCCATGGAGGTCCAAATCACGTTATCAAAGGGCACACCGAAGGCAGGAAAACCAACAGCTAAACGTCATTTCCACTGGCAATCCCTTCGGGCCGAGACCTAAAGAAATTATTAGATCCGTGCATTATTTCGTCTGACATGTCGGGTCAAAAAAACATTTTCCTTTTGCAAAAGAAAAATTGAAGTGAGTTGCGTGCTCACTAAAACCAGTGAATGCTTTCGAATTCAAAAGGAAAACTAATAAAAAAGTCCTAAAAAACTCATTAATTTAAGTTAAATTTTAAATATTAAGCTTCAAAAATTTATAACTTAATATCTTAATATTATAATCACATTGTGATAAATGTATAATTTATTTTTTAAATTTTAACATAATTAAAAAATAAAAAAATTTATTTTTCTCATTAAAATTTAAAATATAAATTATAAATTTATTTTAAGTTGCAAATTTTTGAAATTGACACTTAAAACTTAAATTAATTAATTTTTTTAGGACATATGTCATTCTCCCAATCCAAAAAATGCTTATGGATCACCCACCAATGTCATTACATCAACAGTGAGCCTTAGTACATTATGAACTCAATCCTCATCCTAACATCGACTTTAATAGATAGCAAATTCAATCCCCATCTCCCTCGAATTTTAATTTCTAGCCTGAGGTTTTTAGAACAGCACTTTCTTCCAAATAGAGATTTGAAATTCATTCATACAAAATCACAGAAAAAAATCTCAAAACTATTGATATTAGAAAATAAAATCAACTTAGCTGAAATTGGTCGGTCACAGCGTTCTTGAATTAGTTCAGAGAATACAATCTTGAATTATACGAACACAACCACGCACTTTGTGGGTCTGGGGCGGGTCAGTTCCAGACTTGGGCCTTCCATCCCATCATCTCATGCCCAGGGCCAGACGGCCACACCCAAATGGAAAAATTTTGTGGGCACACACAGGACATAGGTAATTGACAGTCAACTTTGCAAATTAAAAGGCTTTGTTAACAACCCATACACATTATCTTTATTTCTCTCCAAACTTTACATAATTCCGAAGAAAATAAAAAGATCCAAATCTCTTTGAGACTGAAAGATCAGAGGCAACGGTACATTATTCAATGTGCATTTTAACTCACATTGTCATTGCCATGAGGAGTTCAATCATTCGAAGAGCTGAGAGCAGCAACAACCGATCCTGTTGTTTCAAAAGTTGATGCAACATCCGGATAGTCTTTCCATGAGGTTGTGATCTTCAAAGATGGGTATAGCCAACTTTTAACCGATTCCATAAAGGAGCTTGGATCTAGGTTCAAAATGGCTTCCCAATCCACCTGTAAACCTTGCGGGATGTTTCCTGTGAACTCCATATTGGCAGCGAGCAATAGACCCAGCATAACTACAAATCCAACTGCAGCAGATCCTCTAGACAATGGCATGAAGTTATACCTGGGGAAAAGAATTCAGTTAGATTTACAGAACCAATTTCAAATGTCTCAGAACAAGATCACACATTTTGATGATTGCATACCAGTAATATGTCATCCTTAAAATGGCATCTCTCACGTTTTCAAGCACGTCGAAGTCAGCAGATCCAAAATTTTCACCACAATAAGCATTGCAGAGAGCCTAATGGTATCCAGATGAAAGGTAAAAGTCACTAATTGTTTAGCAACATGAATAACAAATCAAATTGAGACGAAACTTCAGAATATCGCCAATATATTTCTAAAGTTAGACAACTTTTGTCGAAACGTTAACGGTGAATGAATTATAAAGTGATAAACTTGATCACTGGTAAAGATGCCAAGGAAACATTATTCTCTTAGAAACAAAGTAACAAATCACATAAATGGTGATATAAAGAGTACTTGATACATGGAAATCAGGAATAGGAAGGGGAATTAGGGGTAAAAAAGTGGTTTGGGAATTTAGTTATATTCTCTATAAATAGAGCCAACAGACATGTATTCCCCGTCTCGTGGATATTTTCTTATTTTAGTGCATTCTCTCCTTTCATGAGTATCAGTATTTCTATCAGCTATATAAAATATCAAAATATTGCTTATTATGAGTGGCATACCTCCCATGCCACTGCCATTTCAGTGTCAAAATCTTCCCATCTTGAAGGTGTACAGGGTGTTTTAATAGCAAAGTCAAAACCATGTTCACCCCTGAAAATAACAATAAAAGATATAAAGCACGCACACTATCGAATGGAAGGAAATGGGCAAGAAAATAACTTGACTTTCCACAACAAAGCTTGGTACTAACATTTTTCCAATGGTTATCCTTGTCCCTTCAAGCTGCTTCCTGAAGCATGAACACCCAAAAAGTAAGCATTTGCAGAGATTGTTCTCTAGATATTATTTCCATTAGGCACACTTACCCTTCAAATGCAGTACTGTTGCACCAAGTAGCCAACCAGAAATCCTCACCAACCACCCTATGAAGATCAGAGCATGATTTTGCATGCATGATCTGCGCATTAAAATTTAAAATTTCAATTTTCATAGGAGCATTGACAACAAAAATATATCACCAATCACACATGTTATCATGATTCATGAACAAAACAAAATAAAAGATCTACAGCAATATAAGCAAATAAAAATTCCTGATGTTACTTTGATTTAGAAGTTATGAATACCTGAGCTTG